AACAGCATGTACTTATCGCAAACTCCTCCAGCACATGGGTGAAATGTCACTTACATAATCTGACAGGTTGCAGTTGTGCTATATGGTATAAAAAGCTGGCTTTTTAAAACCAGTCGAAACCTGTATGTTTTTGAAAAAGTCTTTCCATTTTATGTTGGAGACAATGCTCACAGCATGAGTAATGGCCATCAGTTATCAGTAATTTAGCAGATGGTGCCAGTGTTGACATTTGTTCTGGCTTAATTGTGCATGAGTGTGTGTTTTAAACAATGATGCAGCTGTCCCCATTCCTGGCAATTAGAATGTAAAAATGGTGTTCACTGAATATGGTATAGTGATCAGTTATCCATGTGTTTACTCTTTTGTTTGCAAGGTCTTCTGAGTGTTTGCTGCAACTCTACAATCAGAATACAAATTTGGCTTAAAATGGAACCTAGCTCCATACTGATAGGATAACAGGGACTTCAGACCTCCATGTTTCAAGATCTTAGGTCTCCGACTCCACTACAGGTGCTTGTGAGCTGTTTGTGTATGTGTTAAATATACCTCTGACATGAAGATAGTCAAATTTAAAATGCCATTAGGATTAGGAGAGCAGTGTCAACCGAGACCACTGGACTATTGCTGATCATGTGCAGAAGATCAAGTGACCAAAATCTATTCTACATAGTCTTGCTGCAAAGTTCTAGCTGTTCCTAATGCCATCTTCAATCTCATCCACTGATAATTCATGTAGGAGACCTAGCTGTTGAGTATTTCCTCCAGGGAGAGTGGGTACCTTGGGAGCTGTTGTTGTCCCTCAACTGTCTTGGCTCTTGGCTGGGTTTTTGCTCTTAGGTTAGCCAGTTAGTTTTATTGTGGGACCAATTCCTTATGAGATCATGGTGAATCTGAATAAAATACCTATTAAAAAATAATTTACCCTTTGGAAAACTGTTTGGCAGTAGTCGCTAAAGCTGAACATATGCACACTCTCTGACCTAGCAATTTTACTTCTAGAAATAGATACCCAGCAGATATGCATGCATGTGTTCACCCAAAAATGCATGCACTGGAAGGCTGATGGCAGCAGCTACCCAGAGGGTGTCCATCAGCTGTAGAATGGGTAAGTTGTGCCTCAGTCATTTGATGGCATACTATACAGCAACAAGATTGAACAAACTATAATGCACACAAAGGCATTAGTTTTATATTTGCAGTGAAACATATTACCACAAACTTAGAGGCTTAAAGCAATGCACACTTAAAAGCTCACAGTTGTGTAGGTCTTAAATCTGGGCACGGCGTAGCTGGGTTCTCTGCTGAGGGTCCCAACAGCCGAAATCAAGGTGTAGGCGGCTGGAGCTCAGAATCCTCCTAGAAGTTTATTCAGTTTGTTGGCAGAAGTCAGGGTCTGCTTTGTGATTAGAGGACTGAGGTCCCCATTTCCTTGCTGGCTATGAGCCAGGAGCCAGTCTCAGCTCCTAGGGGTTGTCTGCATCGTTTGCCTTATGGCCCCCTTCTGTCTTTGAAGGCAACAGCAAAGAATTTCCCTCGTATCAGTCCCTCTTGTGATTCAAATCTCTTTCACCAGGAATAGCCCAGTCCCTTGTAAGGGCTCCATAGGGCCGTGCCCATTGAGGACAGTTTCATGATATTAAAGCCAACTGATTTAGGTCTAATTACATCTGCAAATTCCCTTCACAGCAGCAACTAGATCAATGTTTAGTTGAATACCTGGGGGAATATGCATACAAGAGGGAGTGAGGAGTCTTGGGGGACATCTTGTAATTCTGCCCACCACATGCAACAGCATGGATAAGATAAATCTCATAGCAATGTTAAGCAAAATAAGGCAGACATGAAATAATATATTATGTATAATTGCATTTATATAAAACACAAGAACAGGAAGCACTGATCTTTAGGGTTAGAACAGTGGTTACTCTTGAGTATGTAGTAACCAGAAAGGAACTTTAGGGGATTCCTGGGGGCTGATGTCTTTGTTTCTTGATCTGTGTGCTGGTTATATGGCTGTGTTCAGCTTGTGAAAACCCAGCGAGCTGAACATTTATGATTTGTGTACTTTTCTGTAAATGTAGTATACTGCAATTAAAAAGTTCTTAGGATAATGTGGATTCATTACTTGAAAATAGATTTGTTTTGTTTTTCCAAGAAAGCATGCACCCAAAGACAGGTATCAGAATGAGGACCTGATGGGGTGGAGAATAAGCAGGAATACAAAGGAAATGACAGTGCCTTGCCTGGAGTGAAGATGATAGCACCCCTCCAACTCTACATTTGAGCACCAAGTAGAGAAAAATTAGTGAAAAATTACTACTGTCAACTTGGAGCCTGTGTGTAGGAGCTGCCACATAATTTGGCCCAGTGCAAAGTGAAATGCAAACCCCCTTGTTCAAAAATTTGAAGACAGCAAGAGGGGAGCATTAAGTAAAAATCAATGGTGGTGGTGGGGACAAATGAACAAGTCCCACTCCCAAGAAGCCAGCCTGCCTGTGTGTGGGGGAGAAAGAGCCTCATCTCAGAATCCCAAGACTTGTTGCTAGGTGAGTTACCTTGGATAACTATTGCTTTAGTCCGTTCACCTGTAAAATGGGTTAGCCAGGGCCTAGAAGGTAAAAATGCATTAATATATGCACATTTTGATGTGCAAGACAGCAAACAAATACGGGAATTATTATAATAATGGGCCCTCTAAATGTTCAAGTTTTTCTTTAATTGGTTAAAAAGCCTACCTGTGGCTGGGCGAGGTGGCTAACGCCTATAATCTCAGCTCTTTGAGAGGCGGAGGTTGAGAGAATCACTTGAGGTCAGGAGTTCAAGACCAGCCTGGCCAATAGGCAAAACCCCGTCTCTACTAAAAATGCAAAATTAGCCAGGTGTGGTGATGCATGCCTATGGTGGTGCGTGCTAAGTAGCATCCCAGCTACTTGGGAGGCTGAGGCAGGAGAATTGCTTGAACCCGGGAGATGGAGGTTGCGGTGAGCTGAGATTGTGCCATCGCACTCCAGCCTAGGCAACAGAGCCAAGACCCTGTCTAAAAAAAAGAAAAAAAGAAAAAAAGAAAAGAAGCCTACCTGTGACCTCTCAGAGAAATCCAGAAACTCTTCATGAACAGCACAGGGGCCACTTCTGCCTTATGAATTAACACAAATCCCTAATTCTTGGTGGAAGCCTTATCATGAGATTTTACTGTGCATTCCTTGATCTTTCCAGTTAAAAGAAGGAACTACTAAATGCCAGGGTCAAGGGTGTTTGAGTCTGGGCACTTCCCCCATCAAAGTTCTTTTGCTGAGGTTTGAGTTTCGGTCAGGTTCCCAGTTGAATCCCTGGCCTGACTGTAGAAACTCCCCGGCTGTCTGCTGGAGCCTGGGAAGGGGCACCCTAGAATCTTCCAGCTGGCCTCAGTGGCGAGCGCCGCGAGCACACGACTCCCAGCGCTTGGAGGCTCTGCGGTGTCAAGATGCCAGGACCGTCGCCTGGCCGGGTTGGGAGCTGGGGATGGTATTTCAGGCTAAGAATTTCTGAAGAGGCACGACATTCGTATTGCGTTTCTGTAATTATTCTCCCTGGCATGCATTCAGTAGCACGAATCTTTCCGGATGTAGTAACTGACTTCCTAATGCGGGGACTGTGGTCCCCGAAGGCTGCCGGCTGCCCTACCTAAGATTTACGAGTGGTTCCGAGGATGAGACAAGGTCCCCGTGTCTCGGTAACAACAAGTTCTTTGACAAACGGCCGCCGGGTTGCGGCTGGGTGGGGAAGAGGCCTATGGCGGGGTCGGGCAGCCCCTGAATTTCTTCCTTGCAGGAGTTGGGCGCCAGGGCGCAGGCAGACAGCCTAGCAGACCATCAGCATGCAGGAGTCGCGCGCGCCGTCCTTGAAGGGCTGCCCAGCTGACCTTGCTCCGCTTTCTCCGGAGAAATCGCTAGGAGAGCGCGAGGACGCGGCCGCGGCGGTGACTCAGTGCCCTGCGCGCCTCACGCAAATGCTCCCTTCCATCAAGTCCAGCTCTGCAGCCGCGGCTTTCTCTTTCTGCCCTCTTTTATTTTTTATTTATTTGTTTATTTATTTGAAACGGAGTCGCGTTGTCACCCAGGCGGGAGTGTAGTGTCGCGATCTCGGCTCACAGTAACCTCCGCCTCCCAGGTTCAAGCGATTCTCCTGCCTCAGCCTCCTGAGTAGCTGGGATTACCGGCGAATTTATTTTTATTTTTATTTTTAGTAGGGACCGGCTTTCACCATATTGGCCATGTTGGTCTCGAACTCCTGACCTTGTGATCCGCCCGCCTTGGCCTCCCAGAGTTCTGGGATTACCGGCGTGAGCCACCGCGCCCGGTCCCTGCCCTCTTTTTAATTCCAAGATTAAAACCCGGCGTTTTCCGCTCCACCCCTCCCCCTCCCCACAGTCTGCCTATCATTAGCTAGACTGCACGGGTGTTTTGTACCCCCCTCCCCCGTCCCTATCAGCAGAACCGAAGGCCAACCTTCGCGATCCCTCGCTGCAGGCCCAGGGATCAGACGCGGACCGCCCCCGGCAGGTACAGTGCCCTGGGCGCCCGCGATCCGGAGCCGGACTGGAGGGGGCGGTGCACGGCGCGCTGGGGTGCACTGGGGACTGAGCCCGGGCCCCGCTCCCCATTGGCCACCACTTCGGCGGGAGGGGCCGCCTCCGGCTCGTGGCACCTGGCCTCGCCCCTCCGCGGGGAAATCCGCGGCTGCCCGGCACGGGCGACCAGAGGTAAAGGCACCCAGGGGAAGGCCCCGGGCCCCAGCCGAGCTCTCTGTGACTGGCCCTGTCCTGTGTGCCGCCCCAGTGCTTGCGACGCTTGGATGTCCCCGGCTCCGGCCGCGCCAGCCGGAAACTTTGCCCCGCGAAGTCCCCCTCCTGCCTGACCGCACCGTGAGGCACCAAGTCGGCCGTGCGCCCTCCAGGGCCCCGGAACCCAGCCAGTCATTGCCTGGCCGCCCCGTACCCCGCGCCCGCGGCGCCCGGTCGCCAGGATGCGCTACGCGGACCCCTCGGCCAACCGGGATTTGTTGGGGAATCGAACTTTGCTCTTTATCTTCATCTGCGCCTTCGCCTTGGTGACCTTGCTGCAACAGATCCTGTATGGCAGGAACTACATTAAGAGGTAAGAAAGTCCGTGAGAGGGCGGGATGCGGGGAACCGGCGGGCGAGCCCCCCGGGTGGCAGTGGCAGCGGCAGCTTCGGCCGCAGTGCCCGGGGGTGAGTGATCGTGGGATACGCTCCTCGCCTCAAGCACGGCCGCTTAGGGGTGGGTCACCGCGTTTCCAAGAGCATCCTTGTTTCCAGCTGCCTGCCCAGCGCCGGCTGGAAGGCCCAGACAACTTTGTCCCACTGTGAAAAATGAAGGACAGGTTAGAATTCCAAGCAACCAAGCTGAGAATAAATCCACTTGATACTCGGAGAGACCGCAAGGATCAGATCGGTGTCCTCCAAACCCACAGTTCTATGACCATTTGTTTGGACGCGGGGGTAGGAGGGCTCAAAATCGTATAAATTTTTAATTTTTAATTTTTATTTATTTTTTAACCTCTCGAGTCCTGAACTTTTGTAGGGACCCTTGGGAGAAAAAAACATTTCCCCTACAGGAGCTTCGGGTTGGGTGTGATGGGGGGTGGTAGTGGGCGGTGGCGATGCCACAAGGATAGTGTAGTCTTATAATCCCACAGCCACTGGATCTGTGAAACTCACAACCTGATTCCTTCTGAAACAGATGGCTTTTTTTTTCTTCTCATCCTTAGCGCAAAAGGTCAGAGCTGCAGCAGAAATTAACCCCCTAGTTGGGATCTCCCCCTACTCCACCCCCACCCATGGCCAACCTCCACCAAGAGAAAGAGCAGCAGGAGGTGTCACTCAGAAATTCAGTTCGGGCACAGCCTAAGTCTCACTTGTTTGCAGAAGATACACTGAAAGGCCAGCCACTTCCTTCTGCCGGCTCTGCTGGCTACGGGGAACACTTGGGGTTTCGCTGCCTGGTTTGGGGGATTAGGAGGACTTCTGCTCTCGGCTACAGCCATATCAGAGTTTCTCCTGGAAAGAGCCCTCTCTGCTAGCTGCTGGGGTGTTTTTTTCTTTGCTGCTATCTCCTGACTCTCACCAACACTCCCCCAGGGTGATAGGAAAAGAAAAGGTCTCTCTAGCTAAGTAAGCATCCCACCTTCTTCTCTAAAGTTCCGCATAACGAAATAGCCCTCTTCTCATCCTTTGGGTTCTACATTAGGCATGGGTGCTCCCAATCTGGGCTGCCCATGAGGGTGGGAGGGTGAAGAAGCTGCTAGGTGCTGCTCTGCAGTGGAAACCCGAGCACTTAGGCTATTTCCCCTCCTTGTAACTCCCCCAGAGCTGGGGAGTAATGAGGCACCTTGTTCTCAGGACCTTCCCAGGGAGCGTTCCCTGGTTAGTGGCAGCTCTTGAGAGGTGTCTGGCGCTGGTGGCTTTAAAGGCCATCTTTGGAGCCTCCTGGCTTCTTGGATCTGATTGGGCCTGCCTCCTCTTTTGGTTACTGGTGCCTCTGAGATGATCCTGTGCAAGGACAGCTGGGTCCCCCATGGCTTGCTGCAGTCCTGCAGGCCAGTTGCCTGCTGTCATCTTGGCACTTGCTCTTCAGCAGGGCAGCTCTGGGTTCCTGCCCCCTGCTGGCACCTCCCCAAAGTTGCTGGGGCTGCTGGGATTCTTTCTACCTTGTCAACAGGGGGAGAGCTTAAGCAGCCATAGCAAATGCCAACCGAATTACTACCTGCCTGCTCTGGGAAGTCCTCCCTGGTCATGGGTGGGTGGGCTAGCTGCCTGGAGTTCAGCAGGCATAGAAGGGGCTTCCCTTCCTCCCTCACAGAAACCCTGACCCCCGAAATCACATAGATGCTATCGTGCTGGCCTCACTCCAGGGACTCAAGTTAGCCAATTAAGCAAGCAAAACTTGTATAGGCGGGATCCTGGAAGGGTATCTGTAAATAAGGGTCTGTAAAGAAGGAGATGGTGTGGTCTTGGTGCTCAGAGGACTCAAAGTCTATTTGGGACAAAAAAAAAAAAAATAGCCACAAATGAAATAGAAAGTGAATGTTAAACTGTCTGAGAAGACAGGCACTAATGGGCTGGAGGAGTTAGGGAAGACTGCGCCCAGAGGAAGTTGAACTTGAGTGGACCTTGAAGGAAGGATAAGATTTAAGGGTGGGGGTAGGGGCGTGCACATCCAAAAAGCGGGTAGGAGCAAAGGTGGCACAACTTCCTCCCATCTCTCCCACACCTGACCCTCCCTGTGCTGTAGCACTTGGCTTCATCGTTGGCCAGTCCTGATCTTGAACTGGGTGTGGCTGCCACATCAGTGCCACCCCTAGCACCTGCTTACCCATCTTGTTTCCTCCATATATCATGACTGTAATGAACTGACCTGGTGTGATTATCATCAGTCTGTCTCCTGTCTAGAAACACTTGACCAGTGTTCAAGCAAAGGTTCTGGGAGGGCCTGAATTGGAACCGACTGGAGGGCTGTTGAAATGTAGACTCCTCAGCCCTGAATCAGGCTGTCTGGGGGTGGGATCTACTAACCTGCCTTTGTAATAAGCTGCCCAGGTGATCTGAAAGCTGCAACAAGCTCCTTCTGCTGCTCTAGATCAGAGGTTCTCAATCCCCTATTCCCCACTGCAATGTTTGGAGACTTCTGTGGTGTTCACACTGGGGACAGGAAAGTGCTGCCACATGCAGTGGGAAGAGGCCAAAGATGTTGTAAAGATCCTACACTGCATAGTTTGCCCCCCACACAAAGAATTTCCCAGCCCCCAAATGTCATAGTGCTAAGGTTGAGAAACTCTGCTCTAGACTGAAAGCTCCATGAGATGGGGATTTGCTCTGTTTTGTTCCCAGCTGCACCGTGAACACCAAATATGGCGTCCAGCACATAAAACGTTCTCATAGATATTGGATAATGCATAAATAATTGAAAGTAAGACTATGTGTGCGTATGCAGGGACTGTAACTGGAAGAGACACAGTGAAGAAACGGATACAGCTGGTGTGAGGGGGAAGGAAGGGATGAAGGAGGCAGATGCAACAGTGGGTCACTAGACTCAGCAAAGTGCTTTGAAGATTGAGGGGAACAATTTGCACTTGGTTCACTGGGCTACTGGGAGCCATGTCTGGTCCTTGAGTAGGGTACTGGCAGGATAAAAGCCACTAGGAAGGATGTTAGCTGGGCTTTCTACAGGAAGGGTTAAAGAGGTAGAGAGGCTGGAAGGTACTGTCACAGTCCAGGCAAAGTGAGAAGAACTTGATGCAGGGAGCAGGTCTACTTTGGAGCCAGGGGATTCCTGAAGGCTGCTGTTCTTTGCCTCTGTGCTGAGCTGGTGCGATGCCACCTCATGAAGAGCTCAGGGATACAGCAATGGCAGTTTCTTCCAGCGAGAGTTTAGCAACAGCCCACAGCAAATGGAAGTGGGGTTGTGAGTCAATGTGTACTTACTTCTCTGGACCCTGGGCTCTCCCTGTGCTCTGCAATGGGCAATGGGAGCTTTTGGGAGGGCCCCACTGAGATCAGTCAGAAGTCTGGGGGGGGGGGTCCATTTACACCACTTTCCTTGGTCAGGAGGGGAGAAGGTGGGGCAGTGCCATGGTTTAGTGGGCTCAGTGTCTCAATAGAGAAAGCATACACTATGTGAATGAGGAGAAAAAGACAAGAAACAAAGTTGTGAACGTTCCCCTTGATGCTCTTGGCTTCTCCAGGTCTGTTTTTGATTGAACAAATACTTCATGAAGATTTACTCTAAGTGCTGAGGATACAATGGTGTGCAAGGCAGGCACAGTCCAGGGTCTCCAGGGAGCCTGTGGCTATTGGGAAGACAGGAAGGCACATAACTCATACATGAGCCATGCCTAGAGGAGTGGACAAGGGACTCTAAAAACAAGGAGGAGGGAGCCAGGGTAAATCACTGTGCTTCAGGGTACATGGAGGAATTTGAAGGGGTCTTCAAAAAAGGGGATTGATTCACAGGCATAGGCAAAGGTGAAAGGAAGGGGGATGAAATCAAGTTTGGGCAAGGATTGACAAGTATAGGCAAGAGCTGAGTGAATCTGCATGACCCAGGGGTTAGAGCTGTATCACTGGGAGCAGATGAGGCAGGCAGGCAGAGCCCAATTCCTGAGTAGAAAGTGGGGACCCTATGAGAAGGGCATGTCTGGGGGAGGGAAGGTGTAGGTAGGGTGACAGCTGTGGGTCTGGATCCTACCCAGACCCAGAACTGCACTGTGAAGAGCCAGGCTAACGGTGTAGATTTGGATTCACCAACCACTGATATCAGTGTTTTCCAAACTTTGATGATTGGGAGGTACAGTAAGGCATATGTTATACCGAAGATCTTGAACACATTTATGTACACACTCAACTGAAACATTTTGTGAAACAATACTTGGCCTTATTATGAGAAATGCCCTCTAAGTTTTCTGTTTTACTTCTTTAAAAACAATCCATCCTACTTCATTAAAAAATATAATGGAATATTGTCCTTAAAAAGAAAGGAAGTTCTGAAATGTGCTACAGTGTGGATGAACCTTGAAGATCTTGTGTTAAGTGAAATAAGCCAGGCACAAAAGGACAAATACGCTATGATTCTAGTTATATGAGGGAATTAGAGTGGTCAAATTCATAAAGACAGAAAGTAGAATGGTGGTTCCCGGGGGCTGGGTGTGGGATGGGGAGTCATCATTTAATGGGTTCGGAGTTTCAGTTTGGAAGGATGAGAAAGTATTGGAAATGGATGGTTGTGATGGTAGCACAGCGATGTGAATGAACTTAATGCCACTCAACTGTAGACTTAAAAGTGGTTAAAATGGTAAATTTTGTTATTGTGTATTTTGCCACAGTAAAAGAGAGTTTTTACCAAAAAAATCTGAGAGCAACAAACTAAATTTAACAATCCATTGAAACCCTTAGTTAGAAAAATACTGGTGTGAGCAATGGGATTGGATGAGTCACCAAGGACAGAGCAGAGTGGAAAATGATGATGGGTTGGGGTGCAAAGGAGAGCCTTGAAGGATGTCTGAAGGGGTAGAGAGACGAGAGCTGGCTCTGGAAGTCGAGGCTGGAGAGAGTTGGAGGGGAAAGAGGAAAGGGAGGCAT